AAAGTTTCGTTTGCGAAATGTTGTAAAATGCGGATAATATAGCCTTGCGAAATTTGCAATTTTCAGTCATTTTGTATTACAAACGGGAAATTGATGCCCCAACACCCGATTGGGCTGTCAATTTCCCGTGCGTAATACAAAATGACTGAAAAACGGCAAACTTCACAAGGCTATATTATCCGCATTTTACAACATTTCGCAACGAAACTTCGGATCGGAATATTACTAATTTTGTGATGCTGTTTCAAGTTGTGGTGAAATGTTTGTCTAGACTTGTCTAGATCAAAATTTTGTTCATTAGGAAATAGGCCCATTTACTGTAAAACTTTAATGTTCTGTTGAATTCTTCATGTTGAAATCTTCACCAGCGGGGGAAAATTTGATTAGCTTTTTATTTTATTTATAGGCCGTGGGCCGTTGGCCAAAATTATTTCGCTTCGTAGCAACCCCCTGGAGAATAGATTTTCTGTGGTTTAATGCATAGTACCATAGATGCTCGATACCACAAAAAGTCCCAAGCAAACAACTTGACAAACACCGAGAAAATGGGTGATCAGTGATTATCCTCTATTAAATTGTATTACAGCAAGAAAATGTGAAATTTTGTATTCATTTACAACAAAAATGACATGCATTATCAGAAAGCTTACAAAAAAACTGTATATAAGACTTTTAAACAGTTTTTTGATCCTTCAAATAGTCTTCGAGTTATTGCTGTTTTAAATGTGAAAATTGGACCAAAATGTCGCAATAAGGACTGGGTACTAGGTCAAAAACACGTTTTTGACAACGTATAACTCGAAAGTCGAAAACAATTTGAGATATAAAAAAACTGTTTAAATATCTTAGATGTAGATTTTTGTAAGCTTTCTGATGATGCAAGTAATTTTTGTTGTAATTGAATACAAAATTTCACATTTTCTTGCTGTAATACAATTTAATAGAGGATAATCACTGATCACGAACAGTTTTCTCGGTGTTTGGCAAGTTTTTTGCTTGGGAACTTTTTCTGATTCAGCATCTATGGTACTATGCATTGAACCACAGAAAATCTATTCCCCAGGGGGTTGCCACGAAATTGCTTTTCTAAGCACTTTTTCGCACAACAGCCCACGGCCTATATTGCATGTTTATAAACCTGCCAAGATGCAATATTTCAAACATATTTCTAACCGTGTTGCTAGGCGACATATAAATTGGTGGCTACGCCTACGGTCTCGTAAGTTGAGCCAAAAAGGCTTTAATCAAAGAAAACAAACAAAAAGGAAAGTTGGTAAATGACACTTCAATTTAATGACATGTACCTGTTGGCGTTGCCAAGACTAGGAGAATTCCAACATTAAAAGGAAATTGGATTTTTTGCATTTATATCAAAGAGAGAATGGAAAGACTAAATATATTTACTCTAAAATCGCTAAATGTTTTATACTGGTTCAACCCAGCTGTGTATATATTGGCGATTACATCATGAAATGCAATATGCATTTGTTAATTTAATAGGCCTATTATGTCTATTATAATCATGACAGAGAATTTCCGATTGGGGAATTTTAAAATTTTAAATGAGTTCACCAAACTAATTATTAGAATTGAGTGTTAAAAAAGAACGTATAAGAACGTTAAAACATACTTCAGTTTAGTATTCATTAAACATACTTACCCACCTAATGACGTCACACGTTGTGCTGAATCAGCAATTTTGTAAGACATAAGCTACTTCGTTCCCGCGAACTGTAACCTGTTTAACACTGATTAGAATACTCGAATATTCCTAATTACGATTTGAAATTCTAAAAGCAGATTATAGTGTGTCTTTGCCAACTTTTTGACAGCATTTCCAAACCACCATTAAGTTCGATTAACGACATGCATAACGTGGCCAATGTTAATGTGCATGGTATCATTTTACTATGCATGCAGTTATGCTAGTGTTTCAGCCACAATAACAATTTATATATTTATTATGTATTAACAAACTGATATTCTTACCGTTTAAATAGTAAACAAATGTTGGCTTGTATCAATATTTTACTTCCAAATTCGCTGTTATACAACACACAATCACAGCAGCACGGCAAAGAGTTTATTAAGTGTCAACACAGAATAGCCGCCCTTTATACATCCGGTTTTTGAGTCATGCGAGGCTGATTTAATATAGCTGATCAAGCACAATTTTTGAAATCCCAACGATTTCCGGAATTTTTGACGTGATTTTTTGTTGCATTATTATAATTATTCATTATTCTTATAAAGGAATGTGGAGACTAGCGTGTTCTCTTTACTTTATCTATGTTACTTTTACTGTTGTAGCCTTAAAGTTAAACCCTATAAGGCTATATGATTTGTGAAATAAAATTTGTAAATTGAATATGAACAAAGGAGAACGAAAAAACCTAATATACGGTCATAGACTTCAGGTTGAGAAAAAACAGGAATGTGCTGAATTGAAATAATTTAATACCAGCTAAATTATTTAATTAATGTAGCAATTAAGTTGGCGGGGAAAACCACTGATAATCACCTGACTGGTAATGGCTGTACGTGCGACATTGCCACAGGCACAGAACCCCAGGTTATATAATTATAGTTGTGATAATTTTAATTTTATATTTTTAGCCCGCATAGCATTGAGCCGCCGGCGCGCCTGCTCTAGTCTTGGGGTTACTATTAAAACAGCCTGCTCCCGGGCCAATACTGCAATTAAACAGTTATAAATAAGACAAGGAATATCCTATGAGCAGCCTAATACTATAGTAAATAGTAATACTGGAATCAAAACGCAACAACTTAAATAGTATTTTATTGAATGATATTAATGAAGAATTACGTGTTTTAAGCAGTTGACCTATATATACAGGCTATAGAGTATAGAAAGGAAAAAAAAGACACCGATTTTCACCATTCAGTTATCTACATAGTATTTATTGAATATTAATATAGGAAACTAATGAAACTAAAATGAAAGAAACTAAAAAACAACTGATTTTCATTATTCAGTTATCTACATATACAGGCAACTAAGACAAGCATTTCAGTACAGTATTGATTCACTCTCCTCCGCAGAGTCTGAATTATATGAGGATTTGTAGGGATAATGTAGGGATAGTAGAGGACATTTAGTGGTGTAATTTGTTTCCCAATTAATATTACGTGATTTTACTAAAAATTCGTAAGGCTCTGCGGAGGAGAGTGGTATTGATTCGTTTAATTTCACAGTTGGGCTTGGAAGAGAAGAAAAACTACTACTATATGGCGTGAAGGTTATTTGATTTATGCGAAAAACAAGTTTTTAAGAATTTGGAGCCATAAATAATATCTGATTTCTTACCATTTTACCGTAGTAATTAATATCCGGGCAAGGCTGTACACAACAATTCCAAAATCCCAGGACAAAACAAAGATTTCATTGTTTGTATACTTCTAGGCAAGTATATTAACCCCGATTAAGGGGCGTTTTCTGAAGAGAAAATTTGTATCAAAGTGCATCTTTAATTAAGCTAATGTAATTTAATGAATTAAATTCAACTCCATAGCCATATGGGCAGTATTTTCTCGTTTAAAAATTAAAAAAGTATCTGTATACGCGTCTGTGCTAGATACAACTGTCGTCGTTGTTTTTTATTCGCTGGTCTCTATGTCTTGTGTGTATGAATTTTCCCTGGAAAACGCATCCATCTGAATATTGCCATTGGTATCATCAGTAATATCTTGCGTAGACGATGTATTTGTACTGTTGTTTTTTGCAGAGCAACATCTACGACAATCAAGATGTTTATGACGACAATACATGCATATCGCACAAGTTACAATCAAGGTTACAGCTGTAGAAACAATAATAGCTTTAGTACAATCACTATTCGTTTGTTCACACGACTCTTTACATTTACGATCTGTAGGTTGATTGTTGGTATTTACAGTTGATGGTTGATGTGTGTATTTGTTTTCTACCCTGCTGGTCATTGATAGCGTATTGGTTGGTTTCGTTGGCTTTAATGATTGTTCGGTGTTTTTTTTGCCTGGATTGAGGGTTATCGTTGAAACTGTGTTTGACTTTGGAGGAGGATTCGTTATTGGGTGTGTAGTATTCTCTTCAGTTGATGGTGCTAATATATTTAAGAAATGAAATAATATCAAATATATTGTGACTACAAAATAAAGAATGTGAAATAATTAACGAGCCCAATAAAATTTGAAAGGATCCTTAGAAATGAATGTGCTGGTAGTAATTTCAAGAGTATTATACTGGACCGTGTACCATTTACCTTGCGTAAGTAAAAACGTTTGACTGTTTACTTCATGACTACTCCCCGGTCTAAAATCGAAGGGATCGATTGGTGGAAATTTAACGTAATACTTCAAACCAATGTTTCTTGAAGTTTGGTTGAACATTATTGTAGCTTCACAGGCTCCAGGTTTTGAAACAATGGTTGCATTTGCAAGATTTGTGCATTGATCATCGTCTGGTTTTTTAAAACATAACGCAATTTTATCAATCTTGGCTTCACAGTTAACATCACGTTTTGTTGATAAATGGAAAATGATATTCCATTCTTTCTGTATTACAGTGTCAGTGATCTTCTCTTTATATGTACTGCTGACATCAGTCACAATAGCAACTGCGTATAGGTTAAAAAAGAAAATAAGATGCATAAACGTGTTTTTAAATTTGGATAAAATTTATTAAATGAAATTTTTTTATTTCCATATACCTTTCGCTTTAACATCAATGGTGGAATCATGTCCAACTAAACGTTCATATTCGCCTTCTAACTGTTTCGTCATATTTAAGATTTTTAAATCACCATTATCCATTAGTTGGTAGTTCTTATCGTGTACGAAAGGTTCTTGTCCCGGTTGTTTTTGAACAATACGACAGTTGTTGAATAACCATGTTATGCTTTTGTTGTTAGCATGAGATACAGGATCATGTAGAATGACCTCGTCTCCTAGATTCGCTGACTTGTGTTCTGTAATTGGTATACGGCCGTTTCCTTCTGAAAAGATAAGAGTAACAATTAAGGTGCATAAAATCCTTCGTCAAATTATATCTTGTCAATATCGAGGTCAATATTTCATACAATGCTCTGAGTTATGCCAGTTGATTGTGGTGACTTCTTGTTCTGATGCATTAATCTCAAAATGACTAAAATTACTGGCTGACACACAAAACAATCAGACAAACCGATTGATTGACTCTTTTAGTAGCAAGTAAAATGATTGAGACTTATGGTGGACATCGAATTACTCAAATGAGACGAAATTATCATCAAATTAGTATTTCTTGCAGTCTCGTATTTTATTTTTGCATGGTCTAACAGCACGTACAGTACATGGGTAATATATATATATATATATATATATATATATATATATATATATATATATATATATATATATATATATATATATATATATATATATATATATATATATATATATATATATATATATTTAGTGACTAATAATTTTGTAAAGACATGTTATAATGCATCATTTGTCTGTACTATTAATTAACTGCATGTTTTTTGTGTTAATTTCAGTGTTGTTAGTAGTTTTGGTTAATTGGAACCATTCCAGTCCACTCGGTGTCACGGAGATGTAATAATTAAAATACACATGAAAATCAGTCGTTAGCGATACAGATGATCATGTTTCTTATTTTCTTCTTTACCTTTTGATCTTAGTGTTATTGGGCTAGCCAAAAGTTGCATGACGCCAATGAAAATTGTAGTCATCCATGACCATCTCTTTGCCATTCCTGATCTGAAAGTCAAAGTATCTCCAGACTTCAAATTTTTACATGTATTTTATATTTATCTTATTGCTAACTGACCATATACAATTACTTTATGGTTTCCGTGTTTGGATGGCCTGATCCAAACACGCGGGAATGTTGCGAGAGTTAAGAAAAGCGAGCGAAATCACGAGCCGAAGGCGAGTGATTTTGCCCGCTTTTCTTAACTCGAGCAACATTTCCAAGTGTTTGGATCAGTCCATCCAAACACGGAAACCATAAAGTAATTGTTTTATAAAATAACAACAACACGATAGTCTTCCGTGTTTGGATGGCCTGATCCAAACACGGCTTTTGACCAATCAGAACACGCGTTATATACATGTTATTTTATAATAATACTTTCCAGGGAAGCGGCAGTTGAAAGTTTGCCCGCCGGAATTTTTATGGGGGATTGTAATGAAATATCTGCTCGAATTTTCTTGATTTTTGCTTGCGTTTGCTCCTATACCATTGGCTATATATATATTGCCGTACGTAGACAGGAAATATTTTGTTATACTACCGCTGCAGGTTGCGGTTGGCGCCCTTTCATTTCTTCCTTTTCAATAATTTCATGCAGATAGTTCGATCCTGTAATTCCTCAAGGATAAAATTAAAAATGTAGTTTGATACAATAAAGACATAAATTTGTGAAAAATACCTAAAATTTAGGAGTATAAAGACAGGTTGGAGAGTGATGAACTTCAACTAAGGTTTATATAGCTATAAGAATTCAACGTTAAATTCTTTCATAGGATATAGCACATATGTAATCACATTTTACAAAAATTTAAATCTTAATGTTCAGTAGTAACATTCAGTTATACCCTTTTGCATGATGTCTTTCACCAACCTCTTCATAGCCATAGGAGATTTCAGCGGGCAATTCGATTGTTTTAATTTACTTGTAAACCTACTTATATAGTATATATCCAAAACGTGGCTTTCCAATGCAGGTAAATATTCAATGATAAATTGTCTTCGTTTTGGTCATAACTACGTGAAAGAGATAAAGAAAACATCAACGTTTCGAGCGTTTCGAGCAACGTTAATGGCTTCAAAGCGTTGAAGTTTTTTTCAGATGTTTTTCAGGACGTCATGACTAAAACAAACTAGTTTTTCTGGTACATAGTTAGCAACATTCCATACCTTTTAGGACCCTTTTAGCACCCTTTTAGCAATCCGATCATAAAAACTGAAGCAACACGATTATTCCCATTAATTTCACCGTTACAAAACGCTGAAAATGACTAATGTGGCTGTTTGTGGCATGTCATTGCGGTATGTGATTCCATGGCGTAATTAGAAACGTATGCATATTGTGACGGATCACGTGACAAATTCTAAAACGTTTTCGAGATCGCTGCTACGAGCCGGTTGTGTACGGAGTTTTGATTCTTTGTAAGATTCAAAAGATTTGGGTTAAAATTCATGTGAGCACTTGGAGAACGGTCGAGCTGATTAAACTTACATGTTATATGATAAGTCGTAGCTGAGTCAGCACTATCTGAGTCAGCACTATCACTATTCTTCTACCTTGCTGTAACGCCTTTTGTGCCATTGCTAATTGTGGTCTGCCACAGGGTTGTTTGTGAAAATCCGCAAACACAAATAAGGATGATTGGAATGGAACGATTGAAACCCAAACACTTAAATATATTTTATTGAATAATATTAATGGAGAGTTGAATGTTTTAAGCAGTTGACCTATATACAGGCGCCTTATAATATGGAGTATAGAAAAAAAACAACTGATTTTCACTATTCAGTTATCTACATAGTATTTATTGATAGGAAAGTGAAACTAAATTGTAAAATGAAACTGAAAAACAACTGATTTTCACTATTTAGTTATCTACATAACTAAACGCTACATATGCACAAGTATTTATTGATTCGTTTAATTTCACAGTTGGGCGTGGAAGAGAAGAAAAACCACTACAATATGGCGTGAAGGTTATTTGATTGGAGCCATAAAGATTGGAGCCATAAATAATATCTGATTTCTTACCATTTTTACCGTAGTACCTATAATATCCGGGCAAGGCTGTACAACAATTCCAAAATTGTTGTTTGTATGACAATGCATCATCCGCGCAGCATCACGCAATGCTGTCATAAAGTTGATGTTAGCCAGACGTGTTCATAAGGCCACATAAAAAAAATTAGTTGGTTAGCGTCCCCGCCCGCCCACAAAAAAGGCCCCGCTCAGGATTTTTTTTTATTTTTTATTTAAAAAACCCCGACATTTATTGATCAACGGGCTCTAATATATGTAGTATTTCTGTTGACTGTAGTCAATTGTGTTAATAATTTGCGAAATTGCATATGAAAATGACGGTATGAATTATATTTTGAAATATATAAAAAAATATCTGTACTGCGCAAGAAAATCCAATTTCGGACCTAACAGTGAGTAAAACCATGGCGTTAAAAATTAGTAAAAATTAAAAAAAAAAAAGCGCCCGCCCGCCCACTTTTTGGCAAAAGCTAAGGACGCTAACCAACTATTTTTTTTTATATGGCCTAAAGTACATTTCTTGCAAGTTGTATTTTAGCAAGATTTTGTAAATTTCAAAACCTTTCTGAGAGCCAAAAACGTCTAAAAACGTCTAAAAGAATAGAGCAAAGTCGACGACGTTAACGAAGGTAAGTCTGTTTTAAATATTGATGTATTGTTTGTCTTATAATTGATATATTTATAACTGATAGTGGTGGGCGATACGGCGAATATCGAACTAAACCTATCATTGCGTATATAAGACAGCATATAATTTCAGTGTAGTTTTATTAATTACCTTTTCTTTTGTATATTAAAGTACTTAAATAAAGAGGAAAGCAAAGTTATTTTCATGCGAGAATTTTAAATCAGCTTATTTCAAACTCAATGTTTACCGATAATTCGATAAAAGGCCGTTTAGTTTTGAGAACATTTTAAAACGTTTTGCGAAGCCGTTTGTGGTTGAATTTTACGGAATTTTACATTAAATTGATGCTTATATTACGTATAATAACATACCTGGCATACATATGTTTGGGAAATTGATAATTTTGTTATTAAAAGTGATATTTTGGGGAGATTTTTCAATTTTAAAACCAGGTTTAGAACTATTCTTAAAATTACCGTGTTACCATGACAACTACTTTCAATTCTTCATAATATTCAGAAAACATAATGTTATGTCAGTAAGGCGATGGTTTCTGCATGCATGTATTTTCTAGTAAAAATATATCTTTGAGATATATCCATTGTCAGCATAATAAGGAGTAATCCTACTACGGCCCGCTACATAATACATTCATATATTCACCTGGTTGTGTCACTACATTTCAGGGTATACTATATTTTTTCGATAATGCTCACAATTTCTTTCTTATTATATAGTTTTGAAGTTCTGACTCAGTACAATCTTAATCATTACAAATGAATGTTGCCATCTGAAGTTGATGTATTAAATTAAACAAAATGACAGTTGAAATTCTTATTAAATTTTACATGTCCAATGATTCATTCAAGTATTGTTGATGTATATTTATTATACAAAGTATAGTGCTTTATACAGATTCCGAGCACTATTACGATCTGCTGGCAGATCTGCCATTTTCTGTTCCTGCAATGAATCACGAAGTTTTCTGCATTTTACGCACTTTGAAATGTGACTGGCGACGGCTGATCGTCCACCGATGATCCAGAATCCGGACGATCTGATGTTGTTATGCGTCATTCCGCGTCCTTGGTGTGCAACCTTCTGATGATGGTGACAGATAACTAACTCGGTCACATGGCCTTTTCTTGGAAGGATACATGGGTGCTTAACGTTCTCAGGAATACTTGCACGTCTGATTCGGTCACCCACACGCAAAATACCATCCTTACCAAGGAACGGATCTAGTTGATAAATTGAACTCGATTTTTTCACAGTTTTTCTGACTTGGTTTCGAACATCTCCGGAGGGAGGGATTATGTTCTGTGGATCCTGATGACGTAATAAAACAATCTCATCGTCGAATGCTTTGTTCTGAACAATCGTGATGATTTCACTTTCAGCATCCTGGAGTTCATCGACGTTTATTGGCTTGTAGGACAACTTTTCTTGCCTGGTAGCCTGGATGCTTTTATTCACTAGCTGTTTCAAATCTTTATTAATGGGATTTGTTTGTCCGTCATCTTCGATTTCTTTCCGCTCCGGCTTGTTACCATCGGAGGCTGACGAACTCTTCTGACGCAGCTGATTTATAAGTCTCTTTCTAAGACGAAGACAAAACGAAATAGCTCTCTTAGCAGGACCATCGACTCCTACTAGTAATCCAGGACAGAGTCCTTAACGAAGCACGCATCTGACTGTTCATCCAAAAGCGCGTATACCATGATTTTGCGATTCGGGTTGGTTTTATGATGCAGCCAAACAGGAACAATGAGGGAATGTGAGATTGGCCCACTGTACGTGTTCGTTTTACAAACTTCAATGCAGTTGGAAATGGTTGTATCTTCATTCGAACTGACTTTGACTTTATTCAGTTCTTGTCTCGGTTTCGAAGAATCGTCTTTCGATTTCGTAGCCAATTTCGATCTTGACTTCCGATTATCTCCGTGAAGAGAAGTTGGGTGTGCTTCACTCCAAACCTTGCATATCTTTCTTACGCGACAGTTACTGTTCAGGTGGCCCCATTTCAAGCATCTCCAACACAAACGTTTCGCGATGATAAATTCTCTTTTACCATGCATAGGAAGTTTAAGAAATTTCTCACAGACGTCTATTTCGTGCATCTCTTTGCAGAATATGCAAATTAGTTTCTTTACGTCATTCCTTGACTTCATTCGACTTTCTTCAAGAGTAGGAGAGAAATCGTCTGTTTGCGACACGAAACTGTTGACACCAACATTTCTATAACGGGATTGTTTATAATTCGACTCTTTCTCTTCTTTCTTCTTAGATTCTCCTTTGAGAAAGCTTTGAGAGATCACAGGGTTACATGCAATCCGGGCTCAGTTATAATCAAAATGTTTGCGCATTTTTTTGCCATCCCATTAGCAAACATTTTTAATGCCTCATTTGGGCAGAAGGTGTTTCCAAAACTGTGGAAAGAGTTCCGCCTAGCACCTATACCAAAAGTGGAACCGTGCACGAATCTGGATGAAATAAGACCAATAGCTCTCACTAGCACAATTTCAAAAATACAGGAGTCTTACGTGGTTGATTGGATGTATGACGATATTGAGTCTAAAATTTGTAAGGAACAGTATGGTGGTGTCCCACGCTCGTCAGCAGTTCTTGCGCTCGTTCACCTGCTACACAAATGGAATAAAGCGTTGGACTTATCACAACGAGTAATACGAATTGTGTTTTTGGACTTTCGCAAGGCATTTGATCTTATTGATCACAACCTGCTATTAGACAACTGTTGTAAAATTGGAGCCAGACCGGGGCTTATTGGCTGGTTGGGGTCATATCTGAGTAAGAGGACGCAAGTGACAAGATTTGGTAACGAACTTTTTACAAGCCGCATGATTAATGGGGGAGTTCCCCAAGGTAGTCGTATTGGTCCAATCGCGTTCGTCGTTCACATTAGCGGACTGAAGGCAGTGATAAAAGATACCGAGAGCAGTTTGACTAATTCGAGCAATGATGATAATGATGATGGTGATGATGACCTCACTCTTTTCATGGATGATACAACACTGTCAGAGGTTATTAACGTCCGTGATCATGTCTCGGGTACGCAAGTTGGGAGTATGAACAATAATATTATGAAAGCTATGGATTTTGCCACGTCTCAAAAAATGGAGTTGAACCTGAAAAAATGTAAGGAAATGCAGTTAGACTTCCGTCAGAACAAAACAGTTAATCCACCGCTAACATTCAATGATACAACGTTGGAAAGGGTTTCCACTTTCAAACTATTGGGCTTATGGATTGACGATAATTTAAAGTGGCAAACTAATACTGATTATATAATAGGGGAAGCAGTTAAGCGACTCTTTTTATTAAAAACTTTAAAGAAATACGGTGCTGACAAGATTGATATGAAACGGTTTTACATCTCTGCCATCAGGCCGACACTTGAATATGGAGCGCAAGTCTGGCATGGGGGCCTTACCAAAGCACAGAGCAGCAGTATTGAGAAAGTACAAAGAAGGGCTTTGAGAATAATTTATTCCGAAAAAGATTACGAAAAGTTATTGATGAAAGCTGGAATGCGTACGCTTGAACAACGTCGCAATACTATGTGCATTGATCTTATCAGTAAAATGTCTGACCCGCAACACAAACTGCACCATCTTCTTCCTAATAAACTTTGCAAGGTACGGCAAAGGGTTACACGTCAGAATGGTCAATTGTTTTACAATTACCACTACAGAACAGAACGTTTTCGGAACAGTCCAATCGTTTCGTCAATTGAACTCTATAATAACTCTATTTTATTATATAATATATAATATAACTTTATATATTTTTATCTAAACATTTTTAACACGTAGTGATAGTTTTTGGATCAGCCCATTTGTTTCGCCAATTTGAACCTTTGTTAATAACTCTCTTTTTTTAATATAACTAGCTCTATTGAAACTTTTATAATACTAATTTAGATAGTTCAGTAATTGATGTATATCTTCTATATATATGTAATGCGCGTTCTTAATTTAGTTACCTACTGGTAGCTATTCAATGTGTAATCTTTCTATAATAATAATAATAATAATAATAAATATAAATGTCTTCATGTATATTACCAAAAAGAAATAAAGCTATCCTTAGCTGAATTATTGAAAATATTGTCCATGTTTGCATCATCATGAAAATAAGCTCATAACTGTCCTTGAGAAGAACTTGATCCGTGTGCAATACAAAGTAAAGTTTGACCGCCTCCCCCCTTGTTTAGAAAAGCCTTAATTATTTCCCCGGATTTACGACATCTTTACATACAGATAGACAGACACAAAATCAAGATCTCGACAATACATAGCTCAGGCAAAGAGACTGGACACAAGTAAACGCGATATTTCATGTTAAGAATAGTGTGCTGCCTTCCGCAGCAATCAGCGGTTACGGGCAATGCGAGCCCTATCGCAGAACCACGCCTACAGCCAGTGATTCCAAACATAATAACCCCAGGTTACTGCACATCCTTTCCTAAGGGAAAGTACATTTATTATGCCGAAGGGGGTGGGATGAAGATGTTAAGGAGGGGCACCGAAATATTTTCTGGCATTAAAGGGGGCCTCTGAAAGTTCTCGATATACTGAAGGGGGGCTCTAAACTTTTCAAAGTTTTGGTCCAGCAGGGGCCTGGAGTGTTCACTGCCACCATAGTTAATAGAATAGATGGTTTGGAAACTCATTAGAATAACAGTACAACTCATTACCTATGTTAGTGAACAATAACATTCATAGATCTGGTCTTTTACCGTCATGTGCGTATTGTATTTTTGCCCAACTAACCAAAACAAATGTTTTAGGAAAGTTACCTATCCATGACTCAAATTGAAAATTGCTCTTGGTGGACATGGCAAAAATATAAAACACACGTGACGGTGAATGAATATATTTATGAATAAACGTGGACTAACATTGATAATGAGTTATATTGCTATTCTTGTGATTTCCAAACTATCTAGTATTCTATATTAACTGACATGGGGGAGCTCCGCATGGAATACGCAAAAGAAGGCTGCAACTGACGCCTGGCAAAAAGCATGCAAAAGCGCCAATATGCTTCGACTTCTGAAATTTTCATTCTGTTTCTATACCAAATTTTCCATGAATATAGAACATATCGTTCTTACAAATCGTATTTTTATGTTTTTGGAATTGCTACTTTTTGGCGGGTAAATTACGTCACAAACGTGGCGCCAAAAAAATAAAAATAAGCTATTGGTGATTTTACTGAATCCGTTTAGTAGAGCAGACCAAGGGTACTTTAGTAAATTAAAACTGAAATCTGTTTCTAAATACAACCATTTTATGGGAAGATATAGCGATTCAAATGTCGAAAAATCCGCCATATTGTTACTAAAAATAGAACAAAATGGCGGATTTTTAGAAATTCAAGTCATATCTTCGCAAGGAATGGTTGTCAGGGACGTAGCGAGTGGGGGTTGTGGGAGGATGGTGTAACCACCCCCCCCCCCCCTACTGTGAAATTCAGGCACAAATCATGTAAAATTCAAGTTAAAATTTCGACAATTTTGTAAAATTTGGGTAATAAAGTAATTATTTTGGTGAAATGATAACCATTTTTGTAAAATACAGTCAATTTACATGCAATTTGTTTGCGAATTGGCTTTAGAAAACGCAAGAAATTCCGTCCTAGAGCTTCAAACATGTAAAAATTTTCTGGGGGAGGACCCCAGACCCCCTTTCCTTTTCTCCCAAAACTTAGTATGAGAGTGTCAATCAATCACAAAAAGTTTTATTGTAATTATTACACGTATAATCCTCCAACATCTCCCCCAAACGTCAGATGCTTCGCTACGTCCCTGATTGTTGTATTGGCGAAACCGATTTCAGTTTTAAGATATCCTTAGTCTGCTCTTCTAAATGGATACATGAAATCACCTCTAGCTTATTTTAATATTTTTGGCGCACAGTTTGTGAAGTAGTTTACCCGCCAAAAAGGTAGCAGTCCAAAAACGAAAAAGCATACGATTTGTAAGAATGATATGCATGTTTTATGTCCATGGAATATTTAGTACAAACGGGATGAAAATTAAAGAAATTGAAGCATACTGGCGCTGCAAAATCTGCATGCATTTTTAACAGGCATGCAATTATGCAAAGACATTTGCAACAGATGCCAGGCGATACGTTGGGTGGGGGCGACGTTCTCTAAGGTTCCAGCACATTACCCTGATCCAGAAAATCACGGCCACTAAATGACCGTGTTCAACTACCGACCGTGTTCAACTTTGACCGACTACGCTGAATGACGGACAACAACAACCTGTTGACGGTGCCATTTCATCTGGCGCTAGAGTGAGGTGAAAGAAGCAGCAGGTCGGTATTTTTGTTGAGGAGAAGCACTTGCTTGAGTATACGTATATCAGACATCTTGAGGAACTGCAAATTGTATCTATGATAAGGCAGAATTCCGGATTGTAAGAATTCGGGGGAAGGGGGATTAAAAAATTTTAAAAATTTTCAATCGAAAATTTACCAATAACCTCAACAGGGGCCCTGTAAAAATATGAACTTTTTCAAGACATCTTCATCCCCCCCCCCCTTTCGGCGTAATAAATGTACTTTCCCTAATTACTTCCAGAAACATTAAGGGTTCAGGCATAGGCTGGCACACCCGTGGGTTCAGCATAGGCTGGCACACCCGTGGTTTCAGCATAGGCTGGCACACCCGTGGGTTCAGCATAGACTGGCACACCCGTGGGTTCAGCATAGGCTGGCACACCCGTGGGTTCAGCATAGGCTGGCACACCCGTGGGTTCAGCATAGGCTGGCACACCCGTGGGTTCAGCATAGGTTGGCACACCCGTGGGTTCAGCATAGATTGGCACACCCGTGGGTTCAGCATAGGTTGGCACACCCGTGGGTTCAGCATAGATTGGCACACCCGTGGGTTCAGCATGGACTGGCATACCCATGGGTCAGGGCCGTAGCGAGGGGGGTATTGGGGGTGGTTAACCCCCCAACCTTTGTAGAATTAACATATTCGGAAAATCGGGTTGCCCAGTCGGAAAATTACGGCAATAATAGTATAACAAAATTTTAGTTGTTTAAACAGAGAAAATATTATAAAATGGTATTGTCAGTATAAACACAGTGGTATAAACCATTGGTATAAACAGATTTACGAAATCACGAAATTTACATGGATAACGTAAAACAAATCGTAAATCGGTAAATGTTTTTCGGTTTATTATTTCTCAGGACCGTAGCAGTCGGGGGGACTAGGCATCAGCCCTTATAATAATTTGCTGATAATCATTCTTGTTTCAAAATCATGCACACCTTTATCATTTAAATAATATACCTTTAAAATACTGACAGTAGACTAGAGGTGTGCATCGGATCGGATTGGACGTTTATAATCCGACAATTGCCTAATGTTTAAAATCCGATCCGATCCGAAATTGTCTAATCAGAATCCGATCCGTTACGAGTTTTGAAAAAGAATTCCAATCCGATCCGATCCGAAGAATTCTTTAATAAAATAAATCTCTCATTCAAGTTGAAATATTTAACCAAATAAATATAAAAGCAAGAAACACATATCAAGAAGCTGACAAAGTGACGTCCAATTGAAGTATCAAGCGAATAATGCAGCGACAACGGCGATGATACTTTGATAAATGCATGGATAATTAATTCTGGCGATAATGCATGGATAATTAATTCATTTTATTTCGGATATCGAAGTCCGATCCGATCCGACTACGAAACAATTTTATCAATCCGACCCGAAATTTATATTTTAGTTCCTAAATCCGAACAATTCGATCGGATTTGGATCGGATTTGCATACCTCTACAATAGACCTTTCCCCTTTTAAGTGAAATTTTGATCTAGACAAGCCTGGACAAAAATTTCACCACAGCTTGAAAAAGCATCACAAAATTAGTAATATTCCGAAGTTTCGTTGAATGTTGTAAATTGCGGATAATATAGCCTTGCGAAGATTGCCGTTTTTCAGTCATTTTGCACTACAAACGGGAAATTGATAATCAGATGATCAAACTGATTATCAATTTCCCATTTGTAATACAATGACTGAAAAACGGCAAACTTCGCAAGACTATATTATCCGCATTTTACAACATTTCGCAACGAAACTTCGGAATATTACTAATTTTGTGATGCTCTTTCAAGCTGTGACGAAATTTTTGTCTAGGCTTGTCTAGATCAAAATTTCACTCATAAGGGGAAAGGTCTATTGATTAATTTTATTAAGCGGCACATTACCATGACAAATCGCAAAGAATCATATTACCCATACTCTTTCCTGCAATATATAGTTAATTAAATAAGCCTTCGCCCATTTAGTTCTACTAAATTGTAATCAAATTGTAAATTTCGACATAATAAAACTCTATTATATAGTCTCGAACCGACTTGACCACGTACCTCAGTTGGCAGAGCATTAGACTAGTATCGCAAAGGTCGCGGTTCGACTCCCACCGTGGCCAAGCAAACCTTTCAGCTTGTCCGCTGTAGATGCATACTCAGAGTAACGTCACAAATATCATACCAAAACTCTGCTTTCTGACCATCAGAATTCTGTCAAAACTTCCCCCAAAGTCCTGGAAATGGCATTTCAGAGAATCTAAATTTAAAAATTTCCTCGGGCCTTCTGCCCTCGTTCTCAACCCCCAATAAAAACGGCTTCCTACGGCACTACATGCTTCTGTAATACGTCTGTGCGTAAACCATGTGCATTTTTGTTTGTAAATTGCATCTTCATTTTCCGGATAGCAAACACCATCGTGGCTTCGTATGCCATGAAATATTCGGAAATGTTTTTCGTCATTCGGAAATTTTTGGCCTACACCCCCCAACTATACATGCTAGCTACGGCCCTGCCATGGGTTCACCATAGGCTGGCACACCCGTGGGTTCAACATATGCATTCCTATTTTAAAAAAGCTTGTTTTCTAAAGGTCTCGTCTTTTTGTACACCCTTTGTTAAGAAGTATAGTAAAACATTGGTTGAAAGTTAAGAAGTATACGGTAGTAATACATTGGGTTGCATGCATAGTTTAAAAATGCGAGTACTGTCTGCGTTTACTACTTGACGGCACAAATGTATTTTTGAACTGATTGGTGCCAATATGAGGCAATTCGTAAGGTCGATTGTGTCTTAAGTTGTGATGTGGTATGTTTGTTTTTGGCAAAAGGTGGTGTAACTTATGATCGCTATCAGCCAACGTTGATCGAAAAAGTGAATCACACAATTACGTTTTGGCGACGAGTGGACAGCGTATCGAGATTTGATTCGAGTTCTAACCTGTCTTCATACGTGACTCCTGAAAAAATGAAGGATAATACGAAGATGAAGATACTGAAGATACTCGGGCAGGGCATAATGGAATACCTGTGCCCCATATTCTAGTAGAGGTCGAATGCATGCACAATAGAAATTAATGATATCTGTCACGTAAATTTTTGCTCGTTTAAGTTGGACAAGGAAGAATAAGCGTTTGTTGGCTGTTTTATTGCGCTGTTCGTTCCATAACAATTTGTCTGCATTTGTCAACATTTGTCAACATTTGTCTGCATTTGTCAACATGATCGTTCCATAACAATTTGTCTGAAATGGAAAGCTCCAAGATCTTCGCGTGGTGTGCCATCTCAATTGGTTTTTGTTCTATTGTTAATCGGTCGAAGTGATGCTTCTGGCGTTTAAAATCGATTACCATTTCTTTACATTTGTCTCCGTTAAGTTGGAGTCTATTCTGGAGAGACCAATTCACAACAGTATCAACGCTCCTTTGCGCTTTACTTGAAGAGTTCACGGGCACGACCTCTGTGGTAGTCGTATCATCAACGAATTTCCAGCTAAGCAGGTCTGACACTTTAAGATCATTTATCATGAGCAGAAACAGCCAAGGGCCCAATTTAGTTCCCTGCGGTACCCCCACAGAAACTGGAGCCCATTGGGAGCAACAGTAATTATTAGAAAGTTTCACTTTTTGAAAACGGTCCATAAGGAAATTAGCGACCTATACAAATTTTTCTTTAGGAATAGCTAGTTTGCGGAGTTTTGCTAAAAGAATGTGGTGATCGATCAGGTCAAAGGCCTTCCTGTAATCAAAGAGGATTACCCTCACTGCTGATACCGTATCCGGTCGGTGCCCACGGGCGTATCATGGAAACAAGTGCATGAATCGTTGAGGATTTTGGGATGGCCCCATATTGATCAGGATAGATTATTTCAAGTACTGCTCGGGCTATGTATTTTTACACCACAAACTCTTCAGCAACCTTAGAAACATTGGGAGTTAAGGAGATGGGTCGAAGATGTTTATTAATAATGGTAAACGGTTTCTGTTTAGGAACCGGTATATATGACATCGGCATGTTTCCAAACAGATGGAAGCTTCTGTTGGGGAAGAGAACTGTTGAGAATAGAACAAATAGGTCTAGCAAGAATTTCCGCGTAGATCTTTAGTAGCCAATTTGGAAGACAATCCGGGCCTGAGGCTTTGCGTGGATTCAGTTTGGAAAGGATGTTATAAACTACCATTTCTGTTGCCAACACCTTTGTTATTCAAATTAGCCGCGAAGGTATCAGTTTTTTTACTCACCCTGTACAGGATGAGTCAAACCAACCATTCTTATAATTTGAATCCTGGAGCACTTTGCTAAGCCAACGAGTGCGTAACATGCGATCTACGCACAGTATGCATGGCGGATTGTTCCCAGGAGCAGACAATCTTTTGTTTAAACGTTATTTCAATTTATAAAGGTCTTTTTTTCTAATATATGCACCCCATCAATATTTCACGCACTACGGTTCAGCATATGTGCAATTGAAAAGGCATTCAAATTTTAACAATATGCTTGATTTCTAAAGATCTCCTTTTTTGATACACCTTGTAGTACTCATACTGTCATACAGCCTATTCTGTATAAACTAAAGGAGATTATTAATAAATATTTTGATGTCACCAATGCATGACATCCATTCAAATTAATTTCAGTGCAACCATGACGATAAAGTTTATTACATGAATAATTCAATGTTAATTCATATCAAACTATACTACAAAGATTTAGAATTCAAAACTGCGTGTATGGGGCTCAGTTAAGTTTGAGAGGGGTGGAGGAGGGAGAAAAGAAGGTTATTGAAAATATGCTGAGAGGGAACCTTTCAAAAATTTTAAGGTTAAAAATTTAGAATCATCATACTCCCCTCTCCAACCGTCTGGATAATTTATTAACGCGCTCTCTATAATCTGACATCGCGAGAAACATAAGTGATCAGTTTTTTATTAAATGTGAAGAGCAATTAAAATTGTCCAGCTGCCGAGGCTATTTCCAGAGGGAACACACAATGAAATGTCATATAGCGAGAAAGCAAAATTAAACAACATTAACAAAACAACTACGTTCATGAATAAAACTCTTTGATTAATTTGAATGATTTTAACAATAAACGAATATGCTAAATAAATACTTCAGCAGCATTTTCTGTTGCCTGTTGAGTATTTTTCTTCTCTTTAGATACTGTATATTTTTGGTAAAATAGAAAAACTTTCTTTCTAAACTTTTGATTCCACTTGGAGCATTACCTATATGTAGCCTGTCTGACAATTTGTACTGTATTTAACATAAGTACAGGTTTTAATCAGATTTTGATTAAATAATTAAAGCTAGACGGTAATTAAAGCTATTTTGCATCAAACTTTAAGTAAATAACTTATATTAAAAGCTCCATGATGTATACCATATTTTTATATTCTGTCATTTAATGAACACGCGATAATGTATACACTGTAAGCGATTTTGCTTGCACTATGTGGATTTTAAAAGCTTGTCCAGCAGCGTATCTGGTTTGCATACATACATCATGTTTCATATTTGCTTCTTCGGATAAATTTTCGTGTCCTGAAGCTGTTTTTGAAGTTATATCCAACGAAGGTACGTACACAGTATAGAAATGAAGATTTTTGTATTGAGTTTCAATGTACACGTTATATCTGCCAATCGGGCAATCGAGTTATGTAATTGTACGAATTCACCTATTGCAAGAAACACACGTAAAGACGCTCAAGTTGTTGCAGGTGATCTTTAAAAACAAGTTGTGAGAAATCTGTTCACAAATCTGTTGACAAGTTGTGTTCGCACCGCTTGTTACCAGTTGTTGTAACAAGCTTAGAACATGCTGTTAACAAGTGTTGTAACAAGCTTGATGGCATTATCGGACATGTGCATGGCAAGGTTTGAAAGACTTTTGCGAGTTAAGCCCCATGCAGACAAGTACGTTTTCCAATAGACAATACCTATTCCTTGACAAGTTTACTTTCTCGTGTGTACGGTCAGCAAGTTTTGCTTGGCAACTTGCTTGTCTGTACGGGACTTTAGGAGTTCGGTATGGCTCTATTTAACTAAAAAAAAGAGAAAGAACCGCTTGTGAATATGTTGAAAATGTATTGAAATATTATGAATTAAGTATGATCTGAGAGGGACATTCTATTCCTAATATAAATCCCGCTCCTTAAGCCCAGAACTTTCGTCCATGCTTTAGATAAATTCCATATCCCATCCCAGTTATTTAAAAAAAAATGTATCACTGAACAAATATTTAAAGTTTGTGAGTTCATAGTCTCCTATGCAGACCTACTGAGCGGATTTGGGCTCGCCACGTACGGTCTGCTTACTTTCGCTAGCAATTCGCCTTCCCATTGTATTCCATTAGCCAATAGCATTCAAATGCACAAGACACGCCCACTTTGAATGTCAACTGTAAACTTGTAAACAAGGAGCGTGCGATAATCGAATAATAATTCGGTATATACGTATTTAAATGGCCATAAATGTGAACAGATCGAGTTTTCTGATCATTAGCAGTCGAAGTAGAAAATATTGAATATTTTTCCAACGAATGTACGCGATAGGTCGAAGGCTTAAATGTATATAAAACTATTCACTGGTAATACTTGTTTTGAACTTGACGCGACTGCGTGACGGCATGTATATTCAATATGTTCCGAACGTTCAATATAGATTACGATTTTATTAAACTTTATAAACTGGCTAGTCATATACAAACTTAGAAACCGAAATATGCAATGAATCAATTCAGTATTTTATATAGGCTGAATTCTGTAATCTTCAATTAGTATTTATAAATCTATTATCTACACCCGCAGTAATGTACACTGCAACTTTATAACTCTGTCTTGACGTCTTTGTCCAGTATGTTACCCGTGTTACAGTAACACCTGCAAACGCTTGTATTAAAGTAATCAAAACATCGCGAAATATTTTAAGTGATATTGTTCGATTTTTATACTACACTGTCTGTTCAAAACAATAGCTCGACAAATTCTAACAGATTTTACAATTGTTCCATATTGTAAATTTGTAGACTGGTACATGTATAACAAATATATCTCTCAGCTCTCGCAGATAATCGGTTTAAGATATGAATATTGAATAGGTACAAATGAAGATATAAAATGCTCTGGTTCAAGATTAAATGTTTTGAAGCTTTTGACGACCCAAGCCTCAAGGTCAAAGGTCAAGCCCCAAGCCTTTGAGGAAAGGAAGTTTTGGCCAAAGTAAGCATACCTTACGTGAGGGCTCAGCCCGCTAAGTAGGTATGCGTAGGAGACTAGTGAAATATAAATTCGTCTTAAAAAAGTAATTAGTAAATCATCAAGAATAGGCAAAGGAAATCCCTACCATGTCGGTGGTTTGTATCTGATAAAAAATCAATGTAAACTTTAGCTTTGATTTTTTCGGCTTAGACAACGTTGATTTTTAATATTACTTCGCCAATAAACTCAAAATGAAAGCCATCTAAAACACTCGCGGTCCTTGCTTTATCAGATATAAAACTCTCGGCTATCGCCTCGAGTTTTATATCTGATAAAGCAGTCCTGCTCGTGTTTATTAAAAATAGTAAATGTTTTCGCTCGCTACTCTGGTTTTAATAAGTGAGTGAATGAATGCAAAGTCCAGTCGAGTTGCATTCACCACCCAACGCTTCGACGCTCATATCAAGGTGATTTGAAGAAGTTGCAACCTAGCTTCCTATATACCTATGGGATCACGTCATCTGCCAACAAGATATCCATATTCTTGTAGAAAATAAGCACCGTCATCGCTATTCAAAGCTTGATTACTCATATCTATATGTCACGCTTCTAGGCAACCAAAGGGCCACTAAAGGCTTTGTCCAGAAGTCATGCCCAAAGACGTTGCCTAGAAGCGTGGTATATGAATATGAGTAATCATACTTTGAATAGGGATGACGGTGTTATATTTGCCAGAAACATATATTCAACTTGCTGGAAGATGACGTCGTCCCCAGGGTATATATATATATATAATAAGAAGCCACGCGTTGTACCGGAGATCACCCTTGATGAGGACACTAGACTGGAGTTTCGACATGTTTAGTCGCGAATGCAATTTGACTTTGCATTCATTTATTTAAACCACAGTAACGAGCGACAAGGAATTTTTTTTCTTCGCTCAAAACATCGAAGTTCCCCAAAACTTTTCCTGATCTAACTTCTTATACATTTGTAAAAGCTCTTTTGTTTCTACTCAATTATAAGCAAGGGGTTTAAAATTCTTTAGAAAGCTAGGCTATACTGCATGTATTTTTTCGAAAGCAGGCTACCCACTGGAAGAAGATGTCATATCCAATTACATTGTAACTTCGTGCATTGAATGTGGACACAAATGCCTTGAATGTGCAGATTGTGTAACATTTAGCCACCTTGCTGAACGGAGCCATGATATCAACTGTAAGGTCAACGGACACACCAGTGAATTAATGGTTAAAGGTGGACATGGTGACGATGAAACGTGGACATCCTATAAGACAATAGAACCGGTTAGTCACATATGATTGAGCTCGGAGTATATTTGATTTTTATATGTTATAAGATACAAATCTTGTTCTTGCAATGTGTGCTGACTTCCAATTTTAATTTTTTTTATATTTCTAAGGAAATCTGTTTAACTCATCGTCCATGTCAGAACGCTGGTCGCTGCGTCAAGAACTCCTGTGAACCTGAGGGTTATTCTTGCATATGTCCACAGTGGTATTATGGAAAATACTGCCAAAATGAAAACAGTAAGTTAGTTTTGGAAGCAACAGGCCTTGCAGCTCAGTTTGTTAGGGGCCGATTACATGGAGCATTTTCAACCCCGGGGTTGAACTCAGCCCTGTTTACCGGGTTGAAATTTCAGCCCTGTTTGTAATACAAAACTCTATCAAAATCAAACGCGCGATTGCATGACAAAATTTTCAACCCCAGGGCTGACTTCAACCCCGGGGTTGAAATTTCAACCCTGCTTCAACTCCGGGGTTGAACTCAGCCCTGGGTTGAAAATTTTGTCATGTAATTGTTTCAACCCAGGGCTGGAATTATCATGAGTTATTCGAGTATACGTAGTATAGTGATTATTTGTTACAGGAAAACAAAATAAAGGCTTTTTTACTCCCGGAAATCGATGCCGAGAACGTATAGTATAGCGTTTCAACCCCGGGGTTGAAATCGTCCATGCATGTAATCGCAAAAGATTCTCCATGTATTCGTCCCATTAGTTAACATGCACCGAAGCACGTAAACGAACGTAAAGCCTCATTAATACTGAACGAAACAATCGTCAAAACTACAGTTCCTTATTGGCTGATAGAACTCAATCCGTTCTCATTTAAGAGCTTGCTATTATACGGTTGACTCAACCGTATAATAGCAAGCTCTTATTGGATAAACGTTTGGCATAATTTATTCGCACGAAAGTTGGCAGTGTGTTGGTGATTTACATACGATTGCTTACGTACGGAACCTAAATGCGAAATTTGCATGCAAGAGATGTTATAACTCGAGACGTCTCGCTCATTCCCTGAAAAACTGGCACGCTTGATGCATGTCATTCTTTACCTAGTAAACTAAAACTCAGAATATCCACAGAATGTTAACTGATATAATTTTGGAAGTCAACCTGGCCACTGTTTGTACACGAAAATTTAGTTCATTTCAATGGAATTTGATGACTCGACAGTCTCGTGCCATATCATATGCTGTACTGTATATGTGTTTGCATGAAAGTAAACACAATTCCCAAAGGGCAAAATTGCAACAGATGTCTATACTATAGACATTGTCATTGCGCTACTAAATACAGATTACAGTATGTTTCGTAAATATCTCGATTCCCAAAGCCAAAGGCAAACATATTTGTGAAGAGTTTAAATTCGTTCATCAATTAATCAATCATGACATTACGAGATTTCTAAGCGAGGACATGTACATATCAACGATATTTCAGCATTGAAGCATGCGTATAAACACGGCGAGCCAGAGTAAAACTTAAAATCGATAGAAGAAAATGGATCGCAAGAAAATTTTTATGGCCAGTCTGTTTTTGGGATTTGAACTTGAAGGCTGAACGACTAATTAATGTTGCTTTCTCTTGTGACTCTTACGGTGTCTCTGGAGAAGTTTTAAGATTCAAACATTTTCTGTGCAAATAGTTGGACATATGTCTGCACGAGAATGAAAACTTTGTATATGCACACATATTTTCGAACGATGCGATAGCACGTTGGGCAATCTCTAGACTCTATATAGTGATCTACACGACTACACATGTCGACATATAGCTTCAAATCGAATTTGTGATTAACTGACAACATGATAAAGTCTTTAGAATTCGCACATTTTACAAACAGTATGCATATCTATGGTTCATTTACACATATTACATGTGAATTCAATTACATCAGAATCAATTTCTTACGTTTGCAAATTAACATAACTGAATATACGTTCGTTTACGTGCTTCGGTGAATGTTAGAGAGTTTGAGCAAGAGAACGAAGTCGGACGACGACGACGTGGTTGACAATTTTTTCCTGCCTTGAACATTATCTTGCGTATTCTAAGATTAGGGTCAGGAGTGAAGACAGATTAGAGATTCACGCGTCTAGCTGTTTATCAATGTTGACCCAAATCCTTACCCTGATCAGGATAAGACAGCGAGACATGAATCCATATCCCGTCTTCGTTTTTCTTCCTTCGTTCACAACGAATATTTTGGCAAAATTCGTTGTTAACTTCGTTCCGAACGAAGGCACAAGAACAAAGACGGGATATATAGGTTCATGTCTCGCTGTTTATTCTGGATCAGGGCAAGAATTATTATGGTCAGTATTCATAAACAACGACACATAGGACACGTTGAGCAAACACCAGTGACGTCCAACACAGTATGCACAAGAGAATGTGCAGACGACAAAAATTGTCAAGTATGCCTTCGTCTTCGTACTTCGTTATCTTGCTCAAACTCTCTGTTAACTATTAGAACGCTGCATGCTTGGAATCGCTGGGCCGCAAGTTCGATTCCTGCCAGAGGACAAATAGTTGCATTTTTCACATGTGCTCATGTTCTAACGTTGATCCTAACGTTGTCACAACGTTCCTGCGAGTTCACAAAATAACGTTACTACAACCCCAGCGGCCAAAATGACGTTTATCCAACGTTGAATCAACGTTGGAAATGACCTTCCAGACGTTGGATAGACGTCGAAAAAGGGTTGACTATGCAAATTGGATCGACGTTACGGTTTCGACGTTGAAACAACGTCGAAATTAGGTTGCCAATCTCGTCAACCATAATTCAACGTTGAATCAACGTTGAAACAGCGTTGAGATTGGTTCACAAATCGACGTCGTACATTTAACCATGAATGAACGTTGATTCAACGTCTGTTGGCTGCTGTTGAACCAATGTTTGTAAAACAACGTCAGAGCAACGTAGATATTAGGTTGTCGACGTCGCAACCTTTTTTCTACCAAATTTCAACGTTGAAACAACGTCGTGTGCCCGGTGGGACGTTAATTTTCAACGTTTTCTGGACGTTAATCAAACGTTGCAAGAACGTTGAACCAACGTCGTGTTCTAACGTTAATCAAACGTTGTAAGAACGTTGAACCAACGTCGTGTTCTAACGTTAATCCTGACGTTGTCACCACGTTCCTGCGAGTTCACAAAATAACGTTACTACAACCTATAATACCAACGTTATCTCCACGTTCGGCGAACGTTCGTACAACGTTGGCACAACGTAATTGTGCTAGCTGGGTTAGGTCTATATAAATCGTACATAATTTTCCACTCGAAATTTTCATTTACAAAAACCCTTCAACTATTATAGTTCTATCGAACAAGATGCCAAAAAAATTTCGATATTCAACTTGTATTTCAAGGGAAATCTGAGTCGATATAGTTGAAGATGATTTTTAGGCGTTAATTGTTTATTTTATGCCGTAAAATCAAGACGATACGGTACTGGTTTCGTTTTGTTTCATCCACAAACATATACAAATTTATTATTATGATTTGCCAAAGGCGTTCAATTCAACTCTTCACCAAAAAGTAAGGTTTTACACACAGATTATATGACGATATGGTGAAGTTTTTATTAAATTCCATGTTTCTCCGCCATGACAGTATACAAGAACTGCCACGTGCTCCCCAGGACGCACCCTTCCAAACAGTCTTTCGCGCGTGGCCTGCCTGAATACTTTATGCATATATTATAATTATTTAAATGCCTGGGTATACGATTTCTATAGAATAATTCATGAAAAAGACAAACAAAATCACTGCCGTATCGGTGGTTTTATATGTAATAAAAAATTAATATGTTCATATAAATATCATATTCATATTAATGCAGAAAAATGTCGAGCTGCAGAAAGTTAACATCCTGCAAAAGTTTCAGACGTCACTCTCGTTCTTGTTCACAACGGCAAAATACAGATTATCACGTCTGACATACGACAGTGCTTAATACATTACAAGCTGGAACGACTGCTACTTTCAATTGGGACCTCGAACTTTTTTCAATCATAAACACTTCAATCGTTAACTTCAATCGTAATTAAACTGCAGTATTTTTATTCCGTCCTACACGCATAAGGTCGCTATTTTCATGCAGAATGTGTTTGAATTTCCTTTGGCGTTTCTTTGATAAAATATAATGAAGGTGTTTTACTTCCAGGTAATTTCGACGTTGTATTTACATCTCAAAGCCCTGTATTGTCCTACATCGAGACGGACAACATCAAATCAGAATTAAGTCAATTTACTTTCACGGCTTGGTTTAAGATTTCGATAGGGTTCCAATGGTATCAACTGCTTTCTTTTATGGTGAATAACATGCCTGGTAATATCAACTTGCGGTTTGAAACGGGAAGTACAAAGAGCTACGCGATTGGTTATTTTGTCGGGGAAATTGAAGCTAAAAGGTAAGAAACTAGTCAGGCAGATTGTATTGGTGACAGGTCATTATTTATAAGGCACCGAAGAGAAATGTATTCCTTGGTAACATTTTTATTGATCCAGCGATTACACAATCAAAAAAATTCTACCTAAACTCAAATATAAATTAAAAAATAAATACCCACCACTGGCAAAAAAAACTTTACAAAAGAATACTGTTCAGTAGTCACCCATGTCCTGTGCCCCTTACATGACATGAGTTTGATAACTGATTGCGCAATTTTTTGCAGACTGAAGTTCCATGCTGTCTGCCCAAGTACTTTCGCTGGAAACATAATTTGTTTGGCCTCCTGACAAATCGGAAAATGATTAAGATAGCTAATCTGCTTGATTTACATATTGTATTGACATATGACTGTCACTTTTTCGTCATGCTTTGGAAATGACAATACATTTTTTATTACCTAACTCTTGAGTTGTTTTGTTTTTCATTTGCCCAACATTTTATTCATTGAAAGTTGTCCAACCTTTTTCTGTTTGATGCTACCCCCCCTCCTCCCATCCCCACAAGAAATAACGACCTGTCCCTTGGGTAGTTGTGTTTTGGCGTGGTACGGCGCAATGCAGGGTGGTGTGGGTGTGCAGTATAGTACAGTATATATAATTATGTTATTGACTGAGCGAGACACCTGCACTGTAATTTATAGATAAGAGTTGAGAAGCGAGAGTTTGCATGAGAGTTTTCTCAACTTTCGTGTCCGGTCAAACGAAAACAAGAGTTGCGTGAGAGTTGATGAGAGGTAACTGGATATTACTGCGTGATAGCGAAAGCACTTATCAACTCTTATTAAATTTTGAACTAATTCCGAGTCAGTGACGACACTGAGAGTTGATGCCGAGAGTCCATCAGAGTCGATGAGAGTTTGGCGATCAAACGCGAGCGAAAGTTGCGACTCTCATCAACTCTTGCCGCCATTTGACCGAAGCTTTATGCAAACGAAATTATTATTGTCTTATTTTTAGAGTGAGGACTAATATAATTCCTGTTAATGATGACGTTTGGCATCATCTTGGCTTTGCTTGGAGTAACACAAAAGGCCGATGGGAAGTCTTAGTAGATGGAACATCTCGAGCGATTCGAAGCAAAATAAAAACTGGTGTTATTATCCCGGCTGGTGGAAGACTGGTTATAGGGCAGGAGTACACAGGTACTGGATTCGTGGCTGACAGAGGATTTCACGGTCAACTCAGTGGTGTGAACTTTTGGGACAGAGCATTAGCTGGTGAAGAGCTCGAGGCTCTTGCTAAAACTTCTGACAGTGGTATGCAAGGAAATATACTGCGTTGGTTCCAAGTTCTTAAGAATATTTATGGACCTGTGGAAAAAGTTACGCCTTCAAAGGTCATAAATACAAGTAAGTATCAATCAACCTGTGGTAGTCGAACTATATAGTTACCGTAAACCTCCGAATGCATGCAAGCCCCCCGAATATAAGCCCCCCGTGTATAAGTCCACCTCATGTACTAACGCTCACCTCATTCTAAATATAAGCCCCTCCCCGAATATAAGCCTCCCGAATATATTAAGCCCACTTGTTTATCACTATTGTTTATCACTATTACCACTATTAGTCACAATAAATTGTTAAGTCACTATTACTATCACTTATTACTATGCTTGTTTAACAAGTCTTGTTTATCACTATTACACCAACACAAAAGATGGTCCATGTATAAGCCCCCCCCGTATATAAGCCCCCCTTGTATAAACCCATCAAAAATTGCTGACGAACGAATATAAGCCATTGATATAAGCCCAGGTTTATAGTCGGAGGTTACGGTATGTTTACACTAATCTGAAAACTAGCACTGGATAGTGCATCTGCAATGCATATATATGAAGCCAATGGCGGCAGTATTGGTGTGAGCAGAGCAAATCTACTGTGGTGCTGGTGACATAATGGTAAAAGTTCTTACAGTTTCTGGTTATTGGTAGAAAAGAATAAACATTGTTTGAATAAAATTTTATCAATAGTGACTTCTCTTCCCCTATACATGTACATCTACCATGAATAACTAATGAGGTCACAGCAAAATGGCTGCCACAGATCTTATTACCTACTAGTCTTTAAAACGTTCTAATAGTCTTAGAAGATGGACTGAAGCTATCTTTCGAGTACATATATAGGAAAAGTTAGACATTTGCTTGATAATATAGCTAATTTGAAAACTTCGCGATCCAATTTGCTGAGAGACTGTATTTTTAACAGACTTTAAAATCTCATCTCATTATAAATATTGTGGCTTCAGAATTGCCTTCAAGAAGATACGCTACCCAGTCCTTCTCAGATCAGTGGTCTCCATCAACAAGTTAAGTCAAGTATTCATTATTTGCACATACACTTATTCATTTAGTATAAGACAAACTTTCGCAGATTTTTTATCAAATTTTGATCCATATTGTACCAGAATTTTGTCGATATAATAATTTTTGTGTATGCACCCTGTAGTATTAAGATGACTTCTCATCTATTTAGCTTCAAAAAGCTCGCTCTATTCAACCGAATTTTATATTTCATCTATACAGATAAAGAGTTAAACTTCGAACTGCAATTTGGCTCTTCAAACACAGGTCAACCAGGTTACATATTATCACCAGGTCCTGAACAGCCGATGCGACAGTTATCTGTTTGTCTATGGATAAAAATTTCTGTTGCAAGTCGCTTTGTTTTATACGATGTTGAAAATGAAGACGGTCCTGCAGTCTCTTTTGGAATTGACTCAAATTACTATTTGTTTACATATATGAATGGAAGCCTCGTTAACAGGTATATATGTGTATGTAGTTTGCAGTTTTTTTGCCCAAAAGGTTGCCACAACAGCCAAAATACTAATGTTGATAGATACTGTTTTGACACTTTAATAGAACTGCATAATGCATGCTAATTATTCGATATTTAATTATGTTAATTTTGGTCATGTGTTATTTGTTTTAATCATACGATCGAAAATCGAAGGACAAAAGGGAACAGCAACTATTTTGACAGCCAAATGTCATGTATTTAGAACATTGTCCGTGTCTTTGTGTTGCGAAGAGTTCACAACAGTTAAAATAGTTTGATTAATAGAGTGAAATGAGAAGTTATTTTGGGCGAAATATGCCAGATCAATAGAGAAGTTCGGCGAAGAAAAGTTTGACGACGAGGTAAAAAGCTTGGAATTTGTGCTAGAAGTTTCGCCCGGAAATACATCGTCTTGAAGAGGCTTTTGGCGAAGTCAAGAAATACATGATCGAATTACCGACATAATGGCTGAAGCTGACATTGTCATTGAGAAAGCCGATTCTGCAAACCATGATATTTTTATTACGGAAATCATTGCAGAATAGGGCGATTTACTCTCAAAGTTAGAGCAATGTCGACGAAAATGTGAAGTAGATCAAACATCAAAGGGACTGCCGACTGAAATGGAACCCAAACAACAGAGGTCTAATCTGGAGAGAATCAAGGTACCACAATTTTCTGGAAACATTAAAAATTATCGAACATGGAAAAAAATTTTCGAGGACACTATGAAGAGGAATTATGAAAGTGAAGGAAGTCAACTTGCAAGAATGATTGAAGCTATCCAAGCCACCCTGAGATATGAAATTAAATGTTTTACTGCAACTAAAGCGATACGGGAATTTCTCGACAAGTTATTTGGAGACAACAAAGAGTTGATTAAAATTTTGATGAATGATATCAAAACAATGAAACCCTTGAAGGTCAAAGATGCAAAGTCGATTCAGAATTTGGTCGCAACAGTTCGTGGGTTTATTCTCAGAATGAAGGATGTTGGAGCATCTGACGAAGCCAAAAGTAGATATGTGTTTGCTGATATTCTGGCGAAATTTACGGTAGAAGATCAAAGAGCTTATGCACGGAGTATGATTGATACAAAGAAGATTGAAAGCCTGCATACCTTGTTGGAATACCTAGAAGAAGAGGCAAAAATAATGGAATATAGTCAATCGGATCAACGCTCTTCAAAAATTGGGATTTATCCTGTTAATGTGGACGGTGGTTACAATAATGCCCCTGGTTGTGGTTTGGGTTGTTCTCAACAACATGGTTTAGGTTATTGTCCAGGGGCCGGTTGTATCAAAGGCGTTTAGCTTAAACGGTGGATAAGTCAAAATTATCAATCAAATCTATGAACTATAGACTACAAGCAAACATAACTTTTCTGTCTAAACATAACAACTATGAATAAAACTTCACATTTTGTTGATAAAATTTAAGTTTAGTTATTTACACGATGAATAGGAATGTTTTTAAATGTTTGCTTATCCACCGTTTAAGCTAAACGCCTTTGATACAACCGGCCCCAGCATTTAAGAAGATGAAAGTGAAGGAAAAGTGGTGATTCAGTCCAAGAGATTTAAAAATGTCTGCGAACTGGACACTGACACCAACAGTGTTCGTGAAAAGCATGTGATATCAACAGTTGTGGAAGACCATATCATTACCTATTGCATAAAGATCCAAAACAAGTGGACAATGACAATCTGAACCCTGATGCACAACCATTCAAACTAGATCAGGACGGAGCTACACTGCTACAGGCACAGGAAAGTCCTCAGGATGGTGTTATTTCAACTGGTAATGCAGGAACTGCAAATGTACCAACTCAAAAGGTCAAAGTGCACAGTGCCAATGGGAACTCTATTGAGGGACTTGCCATGGTTGATAGTGGTTCTAATAAGATTTCATTCGGAAAGAGTTTGCGGACAACCTCGGTTTGGTCGGAGAAACAAAAAGATGAAGATGTATGTTGCAAGCGGTGGAATTAGAGTTTGATTTAAAGGTATCGCCCTGTTATGATGAAGATATTGTATTCAATGTGAGAGCTTACTCAGTCAAGAAACCATGCCAAGCAGCCAAAACTGTTTCAATGAAGGCGGTAGTCAGATTTCCTCATCTTGTTCGAATTATAGAAGATCTACATTTAAATGGCGGTCCAGTGGACATTCTATTGGGAACAGATCTGCCAGAAGCCCATCGTGATTTTAAAGTTCAGGCGGGTAACCCTGGTGAATCGATTGCAAAGAAGAACATCTTTGGCTGGTCAGTCCTTGGTAATCTTGAAGAGAATAGTACACCTGGCTGGAATTTTTGCTGTCGAAACCATTGACGACATAACAAAGGACCAGGACCTAAAGAAATTGATTTTCCAAGATCAATTAGGAATCAAACCAACTCGTTGCTGTACATGCTCTGAGAAGGAAATGCGAGAATGTGCATTCATTCGACCTGTTCGGGAGTCTACTAGAGTCTTGGCCAACACTGTTTTAGACCTTTTCGGACCATTTGAAATCAAACTAGGAAGAAAAACCATCAAAGAAGCTTGGTGCTGTATATTCACCTGTATGTCAAGTAGAGCAATCCACTTAGAACCTTGTACGGACAGATCTACAGATACGTTCTTGATGGCATTCAGAAGATTTTCATGTATCAGAAAATACCAAAAATACCTGCCGGAGATGGTGGAGAGCTGGGACATACCGAAGATTAAATCTAACGTTTCAGAATTTGGCACTTCATTCGAATGGTGTTGGAATGTACCTAAGGCAAGTCACATGAATATAGTCGTGGCATCGCTGATAAAGTCCGTTCGAAGAGCATTGGAGAGTTCATGTAAAATAATAACCTACACAGAAGAGCAACGGAGAACGTACTTAGCTGAAGTAACGTTACTGGTGAACTCTAGACCCTTATTACCTTGCATCCTGCAACATTTGGGAAGAACCTCCCATCACCCCCGAACGACCTGTTCGAATCCCCATTAAATAGTGTTTTTGGAGTGTTATTTGCAACCCTGAATCTACAAATCTGTATCTTTGATCAATATATTTCCATTTCTTGTCCGACTGTGAGCTCGAAGTGAATAATCCCAACCGGAAATACGTCTTAAAACCGTCAAAACAATGCGACGTTTGTATCGTATGACCCTGCAAAGGCCAGAAATGGATTCGCAAGGTCAAATTGCACCTACACGCGTGAGTTTGACGTCATCCCGGCCAAAGGAGCTTCTTATTGGCCAATTATTGCGCAATGTACACAAAGTGCGAGTAAAACCCGACATCTTGAAAAATTCAAAATAAATATTTCTAGTCGGCGTATACATACGAAACTTTCTACACGAAAGCGCTTGAATACAAAGAGTATTTTACACATATAGCCGTTAAGCAAATGTCGAAAAGTTCAAGGGATATTCAAGATCTTGTGGATATGAAATTTAGAATCTTTGGCCAAGCGGTGAGTAAATATATGATTGTTTCAGTTTGTGTAATGTTCTGACGGCACTTGACCCCCCGTTCGAAAGGTTATTTTATGAGGATTACAATGGTGACTTTTATTTAAAAGGGGGGGGTAAATACTCGCCGAGATATTTATTTTTGAAACATTGTGTCGTAATATGATGCGAACAGCTTGTGATAGGAAAGAGTTTTAAACCAATATTTTGCTGAAATAGGGTCCAAATTAACAAACAACGTATCACAATCTACCAATGGCAAAGCTTTTCATCATTATGTGCAACCAGCTGCCACTGGAACGATGTTTATATTACGCCCAACTACTTCGGAAGAAGTTATTAAATTAATTTCCTCAATATCTGATAAGAAAGCTACAGGTCTAGATCAAATTCCGACTAAATTACTTAAACTCTCTGCACCTATAGTTTCGAAATCATTGTGTGATATTTTTAATTTATCCATTCAAACAGCAATATTCCCTGATGACTGGAAATTGGCAAAAGTATCCCCTATATACAAAGGCGATGCAAACGATAATGTAGGGAATTATAGACCAATTTCAGTTTTAAGTGCAATTTCTAAGGTTTTCGAGCGTATTGTTTTTGATCAGCTTTACACCTATTTCAATGAAAACAATCTGTTACACAAGAATCAATCAGGCTTTAGGAAGTGCCACTCTACTATGACTGCTCTAATAGATGCCACTATGCGGTTGTTTATATTGATCTAGCGAAGGCATTTGATACAATAAGTCACGAGATATTACTTGAGAAACTCCACATTTACGGGGTTGATGCAAATAGTTTATCCTGGTTTCAATCCTATTTACAAGATCGTAAACAAAAATGTTATGTGAATGACGTTCTATCTGGCGAACGTACCATTAATTGTGGTGGGCCTCAGGGGTCAATTCTTGGACCGTTATTGTTTCTCATATATATAAACGATCTTCCTCAGTGTTTAAAACATTCTACAGCTCGAATGTACGCTGACGATACAAACATAACAACGACAAGAACATCTATTCGAGAAATAGTAACACATGCTAATGATGACTTAAATAATATAAGTGACTGGCTGAAAGCAAACAAACTAAGCCTTAACGTGACTAAAACTGAGTATATGTTCATTGGATCAGATCAAAATCTTGACAAGTTAAGAGATGTACCACTACTATTTCTTGAAAACAAAGCGATAAACAGGGTCAAAGCAACCAAGTCATTAGGGGTACATATTGATGAAAAACTAACATGGCATTAACATATTCAAAATATTTCAAAAAAAGTAGGTGCTGGAATTTCAGGTTTACGGCGGGTAAGGGAGTTTGTCCCATTATCGACATTGGTAACAATTTATAACTCATTAATACAACCATTATTTGATTACTGCGATGTTGTTTGGGACAGTCTTCCTGCTGCTGGTGCCAGCATTCTACAAAAGTTGCAAAATCGTGCCGCTAGAGTTATTACTCATCAAGGTTATGATGTCAGATCCAATGAAATAAGGAAAACACTAAACTGGAAAACTCTTGCAGAAATGCGAGACACACACAAATTAACTATGATGTATAAGATAGTAAACAATTTGGCACCAAAGTATTTAAGAGACCATTTTGAAATGTCTGCCATAGATAATTTTTATACATTAAGAAATAGAAAATTATGCCTTGTACTACCAACGCCTCAAACTGAATATTTAAAGAAGAGCTTTGCATTTTCAGGGGTAAAATTGTGGAATACTTTACCTGAAGATGTAAAATGCAGCAACAGTTTGAGTCAGTTTAAAAAAGGAGCAATAATCACATCATCAGCTTCTAGCTAAATATTGTATATGTATTCGGCTTTCTTGTAAAGCAGTGCTATGCACTGAAGAATTTCCGAATTTAAATAAATCTCTCTCTCTCTCTCTCTCTCTCTATATATATATATATATATATATATATATATATATATATATATATATATATATATATATATATATATATATATATATATATATATATATATATGCTGAATTAATATAAACGAGTATGTTTATGACATTCAGTATATATTTCCTAATTTCCAGTCTTAAATCCGTCTGACCGTGTACCTCAGTTGATAGAGCGTCGATCTAGTAATTCGATGGTCGCGGGTTCAAGACTCAGCCGCGGCAGACTTTATCTTTCTGCTTACGCTGGGTATGGAAATTATATAATACACACTCGAGAACATTTTTATCTTAATATATATATATATATATATATATATATATATATATATATATATATATATATATATATATATATATATATATAAATATATATATATATATTATATATATATATATATATATATATATATATATATATATATATATATATATATTAAGGTGAAAATGTTCTCGAGTGTGTATTATATAATTTCCATAATGGTAGTTTAAAGGTATTTGTTGTGAACTCTTCGCAACTATACTTCTCAACTGTATGAATTCCCAAACTGGAAAAAAACATCAACCGATAATGTAGCACTTTTGTTTCCATGTAGCACAATTAAGAAAGATGCTATTATAAATAACAACTGGCATTTCCTCTGCTTTACATGGGATAGTCATGCAGGTAAATTGATATTTTACCATCAGGGAACTAAAATGGATGAAAACACAGTAGGTTTTACATCAATTTCACCCGAAGGGAGATTCTTAATTGGTACCACAAGAGATGAAAAAAATGGTCCTTATATATATTCCAGTGGTTTTGTTGGCACATTAAGTTGTTTAAATATCTGGTCTGTTGAACTATCATTCACAAGTATCTATTCGATGTCCAGTGGCGCTATGAACATCAATGGAGATTGTCTGGCATGGAGATATGTTCTTGGAATGATTGTTGGTAATCTCACCATAGTTCCAAATACTATTATATATTATCCAGGTAAGAAAGCGCTGTGACAATTAGCCTACGAGAAGCGTTTATTTGGGGTTGGGGCTGGAATAATAAACGCCTTCGTACATAGCTTGTCATGATAATACCGACCATGATTGTCTGATTTGTGTTCACGTTAGATAAATTAAATGCAATGTATCCCGCCGGGCAACAAATGAAAAATTGTTGCCTGCTCCGACCAGCTACGTACATAAATAAACAAAATGGCGGCTGAATCGCAAGTTTATAAACTATGATTTTCCAAGTGTGTTTAAAATAAAGAATGTAAAGGAAAGAAAAATACACAACAGGCAACAAGATATGCTGCATGCTGAAACAGTTTAAGTTCAGTTTTTTTTTTAATTTTAAACTCGTTTGCACAATACTTTATTGAGTTTTTGTCATGAAATAATTGTTGTTTAAATGTACTTGTTGATTTTTCTTTTGTGGCTATATAACAAAACACTTTTAAAATGTCTGTTCCCTCGGGAAATAGTTAGTTTTGTTTCCCCTCAAATCTCAAAGAAAAAAAAAAATATCATTGCATTGCAAGCGATGTTACACACTGGATCATAAAAACACTTGCTATACGAAATTCAAGATCACGTATGATATTTTCAATGTGCTGATGGTTAGCCGGCACCAAAATCAGCCAAAATTGTGTCCGCGATTTTTTATGAACACGCGTTGGCCGCCATTTTGGCAGTAAGTGTAATTCACACATTTTGGCAGTAAGCGCCATTTTGGCAGTAAGTGACGTCACACGCGCGAAAATCGCGGACACGAAAATCATAGGGAAAGATACACAGTGAGACATCTGGTATGATCTATAATCTATGTCAGTGCTAATAATATGTGACTTGTTTAATTCACACGCTCTTTTTATATACAAAAGTGTCGTGATCTGTTGGCTCGCGTCATTTGAAATTTAATTAAACGGCACATGAATTACGTCATTTCAAAAATTAATTAAATTTCAAATGACGCGAGCCAACAGATCACGACACTTTTGTATATAAAAAGAGCGTGTGAATTAAACAAGTCACATATTATCATAGGCTGCCCAAAAATGCGTGTTGAAATTTTTACCCTCGCGCGTGGCGCTCGGGCATGCATCGAGTCTACTCAGTTTATTATTATGATAATAATAATAAACTGAGTAGACTCGATGCATGCCCGAGCGCCACGCGCGAGGGTAAAAATTACAACACGCACTTTTGGGCAGCCTATGATATTATTAGCACTGATAAAGATCCGGGCTTACGGATCGAAAGCTTTCGGCAGTAATAAATTTACGTGGTGTTTCCACAAACAAAACCATTATAAAATAAATGTATTTTGCAATACTTTTTTCGTGGCAATTTGATAAACAAGAACGGCAGAGAAATATCGCGGAATTTAAATTGTCTCGAAGAAAATTCACGGAATTTTCATTTTGAGTCATTCCGCACGGCTTTTTACATTTACCAGTGCATATCTCTTTTAGGTTACAGCTTACTAGAACAAAGATCAAAGTGGTGTAGCGATCACATGACGTCTTTATCATGTCCAACCGTGTATGCTCGACTTGGAATAGGAAACGATCAGCGTAAAATGTTGTGGAGATGCTACTGTTCTGAAGCTTTAGTGCCATCAAAATATTGTTACTCAATTTTAAGTAATAGTACAGCTTATGAGACTAAACACAATGAACTTGTGGCCATTAATTGAAACACAGATTTCAACAGTTTGACTGGCGCACTTTACTATACAGGGTATATAAAAAAGTGCACAGTTCTAAAAGATGGCCAAAAATTTGAGACATGCTCCTGCTAAGTGGACAGCGGAGTGTCACGCGAAAGCAATTTAAGAATGCAAAGTTTTCAGCAAGACACGAAAACTTAGTGTAGATTACAGCCTATGCATAATAATATATAATGTTTTCGTAGGCAATGATAAAATTGAAAGAGTTAATAGCTCTAAATCTTTAGGACTTAAAATTGATGAAAACTTGACCAGGAAAAGGCATATTGATGAAATCTCAAAAAAAGTCTCGACCGCAATTCGCGCTAGTTTAAAGCCAATAAGAAGCTATATTAGTCAAGATACAACAGCTAGAGTGTATCAGGGACTAATTGAGCCATATTTTTCCTACTGCGCTCCTGTTTGGGACGGCATTGGTAGTAAATTGAGTGATAAATTGCAAAAACTTCAAAATAGAGCCGCACGTGTTATAACACGTTCTTCCTACGATGCTTCATCTAGCTCTGTACTTGGAGAACTTAGATGGAATAATTTAATATATGTTAACCGTAAAATGCAAAAAGCAATTCTCATGTATAAAGTCACGAACAATTTAACACATATGTACAGTATCTACAAGATTTGTTTGTAATTAGAGTTAGTCACTATAGTCTCAGAGATTCTGAAGGCAAACTGTTTCTCCCTAAATCTAGAACGGATTATCTTAAGCGCAAGGGCGCCGGAAGCAACATGAAGCGGCGGGGGCAGCCACTTAAAAAGGGCACTTATTTTTGAGCTTTAACTTTTTTTTTGGGGGGGGGGCAATGTTCGTTAACATTTTGTTGTATAACAGATATTTCATTACTTGTAGCTAATACAGTTACGGGCCGACCATTTAACGTTTGAGGGGCGGGGGGTGATTGATTTACTGCTGCCAGGGAATTTTTTTCTGGGATCGTTATGTGCAAGTTTTTTCTTCTGTCCCAACACCATGTACGATTTCTTTTGCCACTCTCTCTTTCGCAGCATTTTTTTTATCAGTAGCATATACTATTTAGATTCTTTAATGATATAGTTAACGTTGAGTTTTCTAGCTTCATGCATGCTTGGCCTCTTTTAAGGCAGGGCTGCAGGAAGCCCTTTTTGATTGGAGGGGGGAGGGGGCGGAAAGCGAGGCCGAAGGCCAGAGGAAATTTTTAAATTTATAATCTTTGAAATGCCATTTCCTGGACTTTGGCGAAAGACTTGACAGAATTCTGATGGTCGGAAAACAGCATTTTAGTATGTTGAAATTTACAATTTAGTAGTACTAAAAGGGCGAAGGCGTATTTAACTAACTATATATCGGATAAGTTGCAGGAAAGTATGGGTAATATCTTTATTCTTTGCAGTTTGTCGTGGATTAAATGATAAAGGTCTGCATGATTTTGAAAAAAGAATGATTATTAGCAAATTATTGGGGGGGGGGGGCGGCTGCAACACCCCCTTTCCCCCGGTTGCTACGGCCCTGTAAGGATGTGTAACTGGAGATGACATATTTTGCAGGGGACCTGGAGAAGTTCCAGTCGGCAAGTCTGTGTCGCTGCAGCTACCTGCAACATATATATGCATGGTTTAACTAACATATAAGTATCCGCCATAGAGCAGCAGATCAGGCCATACCTAGGATTCTGAGACCAGCGAGTCGAACACCAAAGATTGGAGCCTCTAGAGGGGTCTGCGTGCATGCTCCCACCCAAAAAAAGTTAGGTTTCTTGAAGCTCAGATAAGCTATTTCCAGCACTTTGAGAAGTTTTCCAACAAGAAATTAACCTGACACTAGTTCCTGAAAATCAAACCAGCTGATCTTCTGGGACTGGTCAAATCGATCCCTGCAACCATGCTGTTTTGCAACATTTTTTTCCCCACCAAATAATGGGGCAGGATATTTTTTCCCTCAGTTTGTTAGTGCACGTATTTTTTTTGTTCATTGCCTTGCAGGAAATTTTTTTTCAAAACTCCCCCCTCAAAAGTTAAATGGTCGGCCCCTTAGACAAATTTCGGCATGGATTGGAACATGTTCATTCGTTGCATGACACTAGCTAAAGATTAAAATGTATTGTAAAGCAACATGACAGTTGTCGGTTATTTAGGAAGGCTTCCTTTTTCACTTTTTGTCATAGGTGGAAACTAATTGGTAACAGTTTCTGAGAGGAATTCATATTCAAATATGAGCTAAATTGTTTAAAAACAGTTTTCAATTTCAATTCATGTGAAAAACGCACGACGTTCGAAGTGCAGTTCTGGTAAAAAAGGCAACCTGCTGCCCCCGTGCTGCCCCCGCACTGTTTAGGCAACGGGGCAGCTGCCCCCGCTGTCCCCGTGGCTCCGGCGCCCCTGCTTAAGCGCTCCTTTAGTTATAGTGGAGCTTCGTTATGGAATAGCTTGCCTGAATCTCTGAGATCATCTTTATAATTTTCATCTTTTAAAAGATCTTTAAAAACTAATAATGCTATTTAACACTTGTCCGACTTCCGCATGTGAATCCAAATATTATTAAGTTTAGAATAATTTAGACTATATTTATTATGTAATATTACTGAAGGTTTACCGTTTTTTAAATAAAGGCGATGTATGTATGTATGTATGTATGTATGTATGTATGCATGTGTAGCCAGTTAAACTCATTTTCTTCTGCCGTACTGTATGACACCACGCCAAAAAGTAGAAAAACGAAATTTTACTGAAATTCCTTACGCAAAATTTTGCGTAAGGGACAGTAATAGTTACCGCAATAGCATTAGCGTTCACGCGTGCCTTTTTCGAATTGTTTAATTAAACAATGGTGAGTTGACAAAGAAATTTTTTGCTTCAGTAAATTCAAATCTTTTTTCTTTAGAGTATCCGTCATTTATATACTTTGCAATCATCGGTATGTTTGCAATTCAAATTATCGCGCGATGTGGCGCAATATGTAACAACATATGTAGGATTAAAGGGAGTACAGTCTGGTGAGCAAATACGGATTGCAATCTGTTTTGAACATCGATGTCCTTGTCTGTAATACTTGAGGGCCTGATTTGCCTTTTTTGTGCCCGTTATGTCTCTCTTAATGGAATTGATGGACTCGTAAATATAAGATACTCAAACGTTAAAATGGAACATTTCTTGCAAATATATTTCATTTTTGCTCGTATTTCTGCAAGATTTTGTAAATTTCAAGAAAGAAAGGGCGAAAGAATCAGCTAAAAGAAGGGAGCCGACGTTAACGAAGGTAAGTTTGTCCCCGAGCCAACGGTGCGAAGCGCCGTGCGAGGGTACTAATTCCCCCCCCCCCGCCGGCTATTTACATCCGGGGAAACGAAAGCATTAGCGGAGTCTAAAGTTCATCAAATATCGCGGGCGTGGGTCACCAACGGTGTTGGGTGGGTGGTCATCCTCACTGATCTCAAAAATATGGTGGACCTTCACGAATAGCGGACACTGATTGGTCCAATTTAAAGTTTGCATTATAACGACTGACTATTCCGTAGAATTGCTCCACTTTATCCAAATGTTCTCTTTAGAAATTCCGTTTTCGGTTTTTTTAACGAGAGATCAGTTTCGCTATTGCGTAAATCATAAATATTCTGCGATGCATTTCTCCGAGAAAAAAGATCTTTAAGGTTTGGCGCAGTGTGGTTCCCCAAGACTTTATACATCAATACTAGCTTGTTTTGTTCTCGTCTCCTAGCCAGGGTTTCCCAGCCTAATTTGTTTACATACTTAACAGGGGTGCTCTAAACTCTATAGTTCTGAGTGAATTGGTGCTCTGCATGGGTGCCACACAACCATCGACAAACAGCATTGTTCTGTATTCTGTTTTTTTATTCACTTATCATCCTGTTATTACTCAAATTACTGTATCTCATTTTCTCTGCATGTAATACTTTTTGTTTGATCGATGACAATTGCCTTGTATTTGATAGAGTAATTAGCACCCCATTGGAATCCATCCCTGAGTATAAATAGGGTTCATAGCTTGTGTAAGTGTAGTTGTAAAGTGCATCTATATGGATAAATTTAAATCAGATTAATTTTATTTGATTAGATTCATGACAAGATCATGTCCTAAGCATTTGATGTGATTGGTCAGCGGACTATTATAATTCTGTCATGGTGGCAATAAACACCTTTTTCTGACACGTTCACACCAGTAAATAAAACTTATCGTATGAAAACTTGTCATATAAAATATGTAGCATATACACACGTGCACTTGGCAAATAAAACTTGTCACATAAAAACTTGCTCGTCTATAACCGGCTTTAATTTTACATTTAAGTGACTGTAATTTGTATAGGAAATTACACGGTTCGAGAAGTATTAATGAAAAATCGCACGCGTGTTTGGCGAAATATTTATAATACCGCGAGTGCGTAGCACGAGCGATATTATAAATATTTCGCCAAACACAAGTGTGATTTTTCATTAATACTTCGAGAACAAGTGTAATTTCCTATTAATATAATTTTACAGTCAATTTTACACGAGCAATCAATGATAAGAAACATTGTATTTGTATTCAAGCGAGCAAAGCCGTATACGCGCCTCCGTATGTGGTCAATTTTTGACAGCACTTTCTGACATTAATTTTCAATTCATACCTGTAAAAACTGTGAATAATCTTTATTTCTTCTTTTTTCTTCGTTATGAAAGCATAAATAAGAGCTCATTGTGTTGATATTTGGTTTTGAGCCCGCAGTCGGGAGTCCTAGCGGGCGCGCATGCGTAAGTTGTTGTTCTTAAAAAGCATGGCGTGAAGGCCGTCTTTTAGTATTAAACTAGAACTTAATTGAGCTTAATACAGACTTGTAGTCCTTTTAACATGGTGGCAGCGATTTATTTTTAAAGATCCTTAGTATTTTGTGAGCATCTATACTTATTTAAATGGAAATGGCACAATTTCATCTACCTTCATCGCTCGATCTGACAGACCGTAATCTGGCAGATAGCTTTAAGAAATGGAAACGTCAGTTACAAGTTTATGTGGAAGCTAGTGGGAATAATAACAAGCCGAAGCAGCGACAAACGGCTATTATATTACACTGTGCAGGCCCGCAAGTCCTTGAGGTTTATGATCATTTTGAATTTGAAGGAGAAAATAACAAAAATGATCCTGTTAAAGTGCTCGAAAAACTAGAGGAATATTGCAATCCACGACAAAATGAAGTTCTGCAATCCTTTCGCTTCTGGCAAGTACCCTTCCAAGAACCTTTTGACACATTCCTAACAAAGTTGTACTCTTACGCTGATTCATGCAATTTCAAGGAAAAAGAAAGAATGATACGAGACAAGATAGTCTTCACTGTAACCGGTAAGCAACAAGAACTGTTATTACGAGAGACTAGTTTAGACTTAAAGAAAGCTGTAGAAATATGCAGAGCCAATGAGATCACCTCGAGAAATAAAAAGGAAATGAGTAAAAGCAGTCAACTACAGAAGATTGAGCAGATAGCTGGCAAGAAAAGCTCAAAGCATCCATCAAAACAACATCCTGAACAACAAAAGAACAGGAATAACCCTCACACCCTGAAGGAGTGCAATTTTTGTGGAAAGTCTCATGAAGCCATTAAGACAAAGTGTCCCGCATGGGGAAAACTCTGTAACCATTGTAAAGGCAGAAACCATTTTGAAGTCAAGTGCAAGAAGGTACACACAGTAGAGACAAAGAGCAACTTTGATGAATCTGATGACTCCGATACCAACTGGCTTGCCACTGTGGAAGTTCCCAACAAAATCCGTGCCACTGCTCTGATGCAAGTAAATGACTGTGATGTCAGATTTCAGCTTGACACTGGAGCCGATGTGAACACACTGTGCCAAAAGTTTGTACGACCAACACAGGTGGAACCCACCACACAGAAATTAATCATGTGGAACAAGTCCAAGGTCAACCCATTGGGAGAAACTACCTTGAAGATCACAAACCCAAAGAATGAAGAAGAAACCGTGGTCGATTTTATTGTTGTCCCAAACGATTATAGCTGTCTTCTGGGACTGTCAACTATACAACAAATGGGACTACTTACAATCAATGATGGCAACTTCATAGCCCATATTAGCACTGACGCTAATCAGTTAGGATCGTTGGGAGAAACACAACTACATGTTGATCCAAATGTCCCACCAAGAGCACTTCCATGTAGGAAACTGCCACTAGCATTGCAAGAGAATGTTAAGGAGGAACTTAACCACTTAGTTGAAGCTGGCATACTGGTGCCTGTGGAAGAACCAACTGCTTGGGTAAGCCAAATGGCAGTTGTAAAGAAACCAAACGGATCTTTGAGAATCTGTATTGACCCACAACCATTAAATGCAGCCCTGCAAAGAGAGCACTACAAGCTACCAACACTAGATGATGTTCTACCTAGTTTCAGCCAAGCACGAGTATTTAGCAAACTCGACGTGAAACAAGCCTACTGGCATGTCCAACTGGACAATGAATCTAGCTTACTCACCACCATGATTACACCATTTGGACGATACAGATGGGCCCGGCTCCCATTTGGGCTCAAGGTCAGCAGTGAGATATTTCAAAGAAAGCTCAATGAGGCACTTGTTGGTCTCAATGGTGTGATATGCATTGCAGATGATCTGGTTGTGTATGGGAGTGGCAACACAAGAGAAGAAGCTGATGCTGATCATGAGCAGAACCTCCTGGCACTGCAAGAAAGATGCACAAAAAAGAGAGTCAAGCTGAATGATGAGAAAACTGTCCTGAAGCAGACAGAAATCAAGTTTATGGGCCATCTTATCACCAATGAAGGAGTAAAAGCAGACAAGTCAAAGGTAGAGGCTATCCTTGACATGCCGGCCCCCACAGATGTACATGGAGTGAAGCGGCTATGTGGAATGATTCAGTATCTGGCTAAGTTTCTGCCCAACCTTGCTGGTGATTTGCAACCCATTCGAGAGCTGACCAAGAAGGATGTGGAGTGGAACTGGTCAACAGAGTGAAGAAGCATTCCAGAAGGTCAAGGAAAAGATCACAAACACTCCTTTGCTCGCATACTTTGATTCGAACAAGGAGCTACTATTGCAAGTAGACAGCAGTAAAGACGGACTCGGAGCAGCACTGATGCAAGATGGCAAACCAATTGAATACGCCTCAAGAGCACTGACTCCTGCTGAACGGAATTGGGCACAAATTGAAAAAGAAACCCTAGCTGTGGTGTTCGGTCTTGAACGATTTGACCAATATACGTATGGAAGAAAAGTCATAGTACAGAATGACCACAAGCCTCTGACCTCAATCCTGAAGAAACCTCTGAGCCAGACCCCAAAACGACTACAAGCACTGATGCTACGAGTTCATCGCTATGACATTGAATTTCACTACATTCAAGGAAGTCAACTTGTTATTGCCGACACCCTCAGCCGAGCTTTTCTTGATGTTCCTGACGCACAGGTGAGACACCATATTTTGGCCCGGAATGGCAAAAGAAGTACGACAGCTAGCAGATAACTGTGAGGCTTGCCAGCAATACAAACCACAAAACCAGAAAGAGCCATTAAAACAGTATGAGGAAGGACAAGTACCTTGGAATAAGGTTGGAATTGACCTTTTCGAGATCAAAGGAAGAGATTATCTAGCCACGGTTGACTATTTCTCGGGTTTCATAGAAGTTGACCACCTAAGCACTGCCACAAGTAAACAGATAATCACCAAACTCAAAGGACATTTTGCAAGATATAGCATACCAAGTGAAATGGTAACTGATTGTGGTTCACAATTTATTTCCTCCGAGTTCAAGACCTTCACCAAACACTGGGGAATTAAGCATGTAACATCGTCACCCCTCCATCACCAATCGAATGGAAAAGCGGAAGCTGCGGTTAAAACTATAAAGCTAATGATGAATAAGTCACTGCGGGACAACACTGATCAATATGAGGCTTTACTTGAACTGAGAAACACGCCACGCCAGGGTACTGGACAAAGTCCAGCTAAAATGATGTTTGGTCGAGCAACACAATCATTCCTACCAGCCATATCGAACACAAAATCAGAACGGGCGAGAAATGCAACACAGAAGAGAGCCAGACACCGCCTTCTGGTTAAGCAAAGTTATGACAAAGGCGCTCGAGACCTGAAACAACTGTCACCTGGTCAGCCGGTGTACTACCAACACACAGAAGGAAAGAAGTATGACTGGAGAAGAGGAAAAGTACGTGCCAAACATAGTGAACGATCGTATATCATTGAAGGAAAGAATGGTGTATATAGAAGAAACCGAGTTCATATACGCCCCACGACAAGTGAAGTCAACAAAGATAACAGTAAAGACAACAAGGGAGAAGCAGAGGTACAAGCAAGACCACAACGAGCAAGACAAAAGCGGCTCAGATTCCAGCCGTGTGTTCTCGCCACTCGCCCACTTAACGGCTGGGTCAATGAGCTTCGGCATTGTTCTGATTGACCAATCACATTACAGCCCCCCAAAATTTGGGGGGCATAAATTTGTATTAATAATGCATAAATTTAACACAAAGGTAATAAATTAAATATGGCTAAAGCGCATTGCTGAAGCGTTCGAGTCAGCGTTGTGCAAATATGTGCACTTAAAAAGATCTGTTCAACGATATTTATACGTGAACTACATGGGTTAAAGCGACATTTTTTGGGGAAGAGTAATTCCGACGATTTTTACGACACGAACCGAAGTCTCTCTACGAATAATAGTCGCTGGAATGTTTTCGAATCCGTTGCATATTTTTATATTGTGTTTATAAATAATATATCTCATTGAGGATTCTTGGTCATGAAAGAGCAAAGAATATTTTGCGTGTGGCTTAGCAAAATTAATAACCTTTCTTTTTTTAGCTTGGTTAGCTAGGTGGCCTAGTCCTTTGAAACCCTCCCTGTTTCTGCTGATTCAGTTGGACATTTATAATTATATTTACAGTAAACCTGGATGTGTTTATTATTGGGCTGGTCTGACATATTGCCAGGAAAGTAGAAAATGTTATTTTGCAAAGTCTTGTGACATATAGTATATTAGTATGTAGGATATTGCAGTATTTAAAAGGCTTATTTTAATTAATATTAAGACATGTTTATATGATCCTGTCAGGTGGGAAAGTGGGAAACCTTGCCAGGCAGCTAGGATGTCATGTTTATACATGTTCGTGAGTGAGTTCATCAAATATATACATGTATTTTTGAACACGAGTTGATATGATAGTCAGGATCTTGGAAACTGCCTCATCCTGCCTAGCTGGGATTTTATAAACAGGCCCTTTCATGGAGCCCATGGCTAGGTAATAATAGGCTTGGTTAGATCTCCCACAAGCTAGTTTGGGACATATGACAATATTTTTTAGACTGGGCAGGTAATTTGTGAACTGAAACTGATATATCAGTGTGCTCATATATGCTAATTGCTATAATTACAGTCAAGCACAATAAATTCAATATTATTTTATATATTGACAATATGATTTACCATGAATACTAATTGAATAAATGTGGGCACATAGTTATTTGAAGGGCAATAAATAAATCCAATTGGTATCATGTGTTTCTTTGTTGTGAAGGGGCAAAGAATAGAACTTGTTGGATAGCCTAAGTAGAGGATTTATGGAATAAAAGTATGCAATGTTTTATAAATTCAGACATCAGTGAAATATGCATTTAGTCTGTTCAACAAGCTCAAATATGTTTGCTCTCAGCCCTCAGGCTGAGTTTTGGAAACCTTGTCAGTTTGGTATTAAGAAAAGGATAGTTGTCATGTCAATGTGTGTTTTTAATGGCTGTTCATATGAAAGCCAGACTGAGAATGACAAAGCATGATAAATTGCTAGTTCTGAAAGATTGAATATTTATTTAAGCTAATAAACAAGGGTTCAGAAAATTTGTTGCAGTAACACTTTAGTTAGAAAATATCAAAATGTTAAACACCAAAATTATCCTGGCATGGGGGATTAAGTTTTCATGGGGGAAAAGAAGCCAAATTCTTCTTGCATTCCTGCAGAGATGTATTCAGGGATGGATTTACTGGGGGGCACCCCCCTTGCCCTGGCCAGAGGGGGTGCAGGGGGGGGGTGCTATTTTTCATGATAAAGCAAAAAATTATTAGAGACAAAATGACATACAATAATTTGAGTAATAACATGATGATAAGTGAAATGTGAACAACAATTACAATTTAAATACAGTAGTCAAGCAGGACTTTGCAGTAGTGAAGCAAGTTGATGGGCGGGTGGCACACATGACCGACACAACTCGGCACCAGAGCTGGCAGAGCACCCCCCCCCACCAGATCATGCTGGATGTATTTACTGCCATGGGGATGCACCCCCCCCCCCCTTAACATTGGTGTAAGGTGGGGGGTATTTCATCAAATAATTTTTTTTTCAATTTGGAAAGGCAATATCCTGTCACCATTACCACAATAATACCCCTCACTGCTGTGTGTAGCTACAAATGATTACTGACTTGGTCAACAGTCGTACACTGAACCATATATGGGTCGATGAGCACACCCGGCCTCCATTTGTACAGACAACTTATACAACACCGAAATAAAGCCAAGAACATTTTAAATTTCAAATATTCTTGCTACATCTAAAGACTGTTTAACCAAATCTATGAAGGTGCACAGTAAGGTACAGTTCAACATCAAACACTAGGTCTTCTATTTTGTAGCTTTGAAGT